TGGTCCTGTTGCCCTTCTCCCCATGCACTATGTTCTCAGCCACCCTATCTTTCCCCCTTCTCCAGTGATTCTTATATACAACTGGTCTTCAGGCCTCTTGGATTGTGTCTGTATCCCAGGAAGTCTGGGCAGCAGGATGTTAAGCTACACCAAGTAGTCACTTCACAAAGTCTTTCTGGCATCATGACACAGAAGCACGCTCTTCCTTGAGCTTCAGCTTTTGCTTCCTAGCATCCCAATATGGAGTCCTAAGGAGCCTTTCTCACACATCTGGAACACTGAAGCTGCCACTGTCCATACTCACCTTGTGATCAGACATAAGAGAACATGATTGGGACTCTTGTTAAGTGGACAGGGATATCCACATTCTTGTCATGGACTAGGCTTCTATACAAAGTTACAACAGACACTGGTCTCAGAAAGAGAACTCTGCCTTGCAGCTGAGATGCAGCTCTGTACTCAGGTTCATACTGATACCGTACACGTCACTAGTGCCTTGTGCTCACCTATCCTCAATCTGACATAGTGCCCCAGAGAGTCTCTGGAAGAGAGGCACAGATGGGCATCCCATGCTGACTGTGTGAACAATGCAAATGACTGACAAACAAGCAACAACAGTAGAAAGTGACAAAAATAGGTTAGTGGGATTTATTAAGAAAACAAAAAATTGTGCACTATAGGTTTCTGGAGATGTAAAAGTGCTACTACTTTATTAAAATAATGCTGGGCATGGCGTTCCACACTTTTGATCCCAATACTTCAGATGCAGAGGCAGGAAGATTTCTGTGCCTTTAGGGCCAGCTTGGTCTACAGATTGAAGTTCTCACCGGCTACACAGTGTTCTGAGATGCTGGCTGAAAAAAAATACAATAAAATAAAGAATATGCTGAGTGTGGGAGATATTTTCCAAAATAGACAGGAAAAATGAGAAAGCTTAAGCAATTGATGAAGGTCTGTGTAGGTTTGTTATGCTATATAAAGGATGAGCCAAAAATAATATACACAGAATCTTAAAATTTCTAATGTCATAGTTTCGTCAACTAGATTAAGAAACAAAATATATACCTAGTCAAGATTTATATGAGTACATTTGGTCTTTGCCCAAGCTTTATCAACATGGCACATAGTAATTAAAAGTGCCAGGCTAGTGGAACTAATCCTATTGGATGTTTAACAGCTATACTTTGAGGCCTCTGCTAATCTGTTCAGAGGGACTTAAAGGACAGTTTTTGCCCCTTGCCCTCCAAGGCCGACTAAGTTCCAGGAGACCATGGAACATCTCTCACAATGTCCTGTAACTGTGATGAGTGTGATAAGAATAGGAGGTAGGAATTGGCTAGGCAGTTAGGGTAAAAAAAGACCCTAAAGAAAAGTAGCTAGTTTCTTGGCTAAAAGACAAAATGTCCTTGGGCTTCTTAGCAACATACTCTGTTCCAAAGGCCAAATATGACAAAAGTATTTGGGAGCTCTTATCTAATCCCTAAAAGATTTTAGGGTTACATCTTCAGAGGGTTAATATTAAAGTATTGAAAAGTCCCATTTAGAAAAAAAGGGAGGAAGGAAGGAAGGAAAGAGGGAAAAGAAAGAGAAAGAAAGAAAGAAAGAAAGAAAGAAAGAAAGAAAGAAAGAAAGAAAAAGAAAGAAAGGAGCACACAAAGTTGTCAGAAAAAAGTAATGGGGAAATATGGGAGGTGTTGGAGGGGAGAGAGTGGGTATGGATTTGAACAAAACATCTTATATGCATGTATGAAATTCTCAATATAGTTTATTTTAAAAGTTCGCAAAAACAAACTGAACATTCTACAAAGGCTGATGAGCTGATTAGAACTTCAGTGCTTCTGGAGAGTTTGGAATGTTGTAGGTCCAGAGCCTAATTGCCATTTATCCCCCTAAATAGTCACTCCTTACCCACCTTTGTTTCCGACTTTACATCCTGTGACTAACAGGTAAAACCTTTTGGAATGTATTAACTTAGTAGACCAGCAGCTTCCATCAACCAGAAGGCTGAATGCCCTCCAAAAGCACCTGAGGCCTATAGCTGAGATTTTTCTTTTGTTGTAACCAACTACCCAATATTCCCACCAAGGTATTTGAAAAGAGTCTTGACTTATGACTTTTCTTTGTTCTGTTATTATAAAAACTTCATGAAAATATTACCATGTTGGAACATGGAATTCAGGGTAGCTTGAATCTGTGTTCCCTGGCCATGGTCGCTCATATTTCGCTCCAGAATAAACTATCTCTTATCCCCTTTGAGGTGGAATTATGCTTTTGTATCGACACTGGCCAGTGATCATGGCCAGAGGAATATTCATACATGCTCCTCCCACTGTCCCTCAGTGTGACCTGCACTTCTGAAGACAGATTGGAACCTTCAGTTTCTCACTGTACAATCAGACTATGACCAGACGGGGCCCAGGAATGGAAATGACCCAGGGAGGTTAAAGTGTTCTGTATGATAAGGTTCTAAGAGACTAGGCAAAGAGGATGTAGGCACAGGAAAACAGTAAGGGCTAAAAAATTCTCTACAGGTGGTGAATGTGCAGACAATTAGGAATGCAAGGTAGGTTTCTGGGACACTTGCTTTTCCATCTTTTTTTTTAATATCTTATTTATTATTTTTATTTTATGAGTGTATTGTCTGCATGTATGTGAGTACACCTGTGTTGTGCAATGCCACGGAGGTCAGAAAAGGACTTCGGATTCCCCTGGAAATGGAGTTAAGGATGGTTTGTAACGTCATGTGGGTGCTGGGAATCGAACACAGGTCCTCTGCAAGAGCAGCCAGTGCTCTTAACTGCTGAACCATCTCTCCAGAAACTCATCTTTTTATAAAAAAGATTTATTTAATTTCATGTGTATGAGTCATCGGCCTGTTTGCTGTAATGCGTACCATGATTGCAGTAATCGAGAAGGCCAGAAGATGCAATAGGATCTCCTGAAATTGGAATCATGGACCCTTGTTACCCATGTGGAGACTGGGAATTGAAACGAGGTCCTCTGTAAGGGCAGCCATGCCTCTGAACCTTTATGTCAGCCCATCCCACCCATTTTTGATTTTGGTCTTCTGAGAAAGGGTTTCCCCTCTAGCCCCACCTGCCTGAAACTGGCTTTGTAGGCCAGGCTGACTTGAATCTCACAAAGGTCTCCCTGTCTCTGCTTCCTGAGTCCGGGGATTAAATTTGTGCACCATGACAATGGGCATTGACCCCCCTATTTTAAATAAGGTGTCACTTATAGCCCAGGATGCATTGTATCTTCCCTTTTGTATCTTTGGAGTGCTGAGATAAAAGGTCCATACCACCATGCTCAACTTTTACATCTCACTTTAAATAACTGGTATGATGTTTGCAATTTGTTCTCACTTTAATGAAGGCACCTCATGTCTTTCCACATTTGCCATCACTAGGTTTTACCTTTCTCCTCATTTCATCCATATATTCAGTCTGTTTCCTGTTCTCACCTGTCTCTCATTTCTGGTGGTTTCTTTTAAAGATTTGTGTGTGTGCTTGTTTGTGTCTATGTCTGTGTCTGTACACTCAAACACGTGCACCTGAGTGCAGAGCCTGTGCAGAGTCAGAAGATGACAGAACTGCAAGTTACAAACACTTGACATGGCTGGTGAACCAAACTTAGGTCCTGTGAATGAACATAAATCTCTCTATTTAAAAAAATTCATTTTTCTTTTATATATATGAGTATATTGCCTGCATATGTGCAAGTGTACCCATGTAGTGCAATGCCCAAGGAGGACAGAAGAGGGCATTGTGTTCCCCTGGAACTGGAGATATGAATGGTTGTTACCCTCCATGTAGGTACTGGGAATCTAACCAGGGTCCTCCACAAGAGCAGCCAGTGCTCTTAATCACTGAGCCATCTCTCAAGCCCCACATCAAGCTCTCTTAAGTACTAAGCCATCTATCAAGCCCCCATGTTTCATTTCTGAATGGCCAATTTCTTATATAGCCTCCACTCTAAATTTCTCAAATCTGCTTCTGGAAAGAATTTTTTTTTGAGACATGGCCTCCATGTATCCTCAGATTCTACATAGACTGGGATGGCCTTGCTCTCGCAGAGATCTGCCTAACTCTGCCCCAGGAGTATTTGGATTGATTATGTGGACCGCCATGCTTGGGTGTGGACACAGCATTTTGAATGGCCCCATCACACCAGTGTCCTCATTATGGATTGTCTATTCATTGGTCAAAGCATTTCTCTGTTGTGCGTTGTGGTCTGAATTGATTTGCTTAAACAGACACAAGTAATCTTTCTGTGACACTTCTTTGGGATCATGATCAACTCTAGATGGCTCTGTGGGATATGTGCAGGCATTCCAAATGCCCCACCCAGCTCTGCTTTGCTCTCATCAATGCCCTTTGTCCTGGGCAGATGGGGGTGTTTTGCATTAGGATACAAAGGATGTCTCCCCAGAGCGAGTACTGAGGAAAACTTTGGTGCCGAATGGCCAGGTTCTACAGAGCTATGCATACACATTTTATTTTGATTATTTACATGCGTTTTATGTGTATGTATGTTTTGCCTGAACATGTGTAAGTTCAGCCATGGATACAATGCCTACGGAGGCCAGGAGAGGGCATCAGATCCCTTGGAACTGAAGTAGTAGACACTTGGGAGCCGCCATATGGGTGCTCAGATCTGAACCCGGCTACAAGAGCAGCCAGGGCTCTTAACCACTGAGCAATCTCTACAGAAACACATGCACATTTTTTTTTTGTTTAGTAGCAAAAGAGATGTGTTGTGCAAAGTGATCTTACCATCCGTCCCGGCATTTCAGATCTCATGAGAGCATAGTCACAATAGAAACAATACCCTGCACAGTGCAAATGAAGAGGCCAAGTCAGGAAACACATACTACATCAAGTGCAGTTAAAATGAAGAACAATTAATGGATCAAATGTGAGAGAAATTGTTTGTTCTGCTTCTTTGTAAAAGCATATTTCGGGTAAATACAAGCAAATATGAATTTTGCCAAGATAATTCTACCATGAGGCAGATTTGGCCGCTCTCCAAACCCATTTCATAAGATTCATATTGTTTCTGGGCATCCCCATCTCCCTATTAATTAAGTAGATCAGGATGTTTCTGGGGCGCTTGCGGTGTTTTAACTTTTTGGGCCGAATCAGTTGCATGTTCAGTTCCGGTGGGTTGGGACTGGACTCAGAGTTTCCTTTCTCCATGACATACACAATCTCCACCAGTAGCTTCAGGAAACAACACAACTGAAAAACATGATGAATCCACATATCAGGCAGATTCGGAGTCTCTTTCTCACTGTGATACACTGTTTCTGTCTTTGCATCTGTCTGTCACTTTATCCCTTTCTCTCTCTCTGTCTCTCTCTCAGAGAGCACACTTACAGACCGACACAAACACACACACACACACAAATACAAACCATAGTCGAAAAAGATTGCTTTGGGACATGGTTTGATTTGCAATGTCCACATTATCATATCTTTCATCCTGTCGCATACTTGGGTCTGTGTCCAGACACTTTTCTGTACTAATGACAAAGTTTCAATTCCTCTTTCTTTCATTCATTTAGAATAAATTTTTATATTTATTTTTATTGTGTGTTTACGTGTGTACACGTGTGCCATGCACCTGTGAACATCAGAGGACAACCTGTGTGATTCAGATGTCTCTTTCTACCATGTGGGTTGAGGGGATAGAACTGAGGTCATCAGACTTGGCAGCAAACACCATTGTCTGCTGAGCCATGTGGTCAGCCCTCAATTCCTGTTTCTGTTCGTAAATGGAGCCTTCAAGCCACATGGTAACTGCCCCATTTTTCTTCCTTCCAAATTAGGGAAAGGCAGGGTCCTGTCTGCCTTGCTCTCTGCATCTGTCAAGGACAGAGTTCCAGAGAAACCAGCACAGGGATCCCAGGAAGGTAGGGACGGAATGCCAGGGATTCTGCTGACTCATTGCTTAAGGTCTGGAGGAAAAAAGGTAAGGACTACTAAGGGTTCGGACACAGTCAGGTCTGTCCTGAGTGCCCAGAACTGGATATTGACACAGGAAGGTCTAAAACGACTCTTGTTTCCCCACCTTGCACTCCTGCACAAGCCCGCAATAGCCCGTCAGCCCCTCTGTCCTGTACACCTACCCGTGACTCACCCTGATAAACCTTCACAGGGTTTGCTATGTAATTCCTCAGTAAGTTTTTAGTTATTATACAAAATAAAGTATTTATTATAACATTTCCATACACATGTATCATTGAACTCTGCTTCTTTTCCCCTCACAGTTTGAATTTGACCCAGGACCATGTACACATGATGTTCTCAGTGTTTATACACTAGGAGAAAAGGAGGAATTTGCTCAAGGTAACACAGCTGAGGTACCAAATGAGAGACTGTGTTAGCAGCCTGCTTTGCAGCCCCCTTACCTACAAGATTGTCTCTATTATCAGTTTGAACACAGACTGTCCTCCTTCCTCCCCCAGTACCCAACACGGTCAGAACTCATTTGGCAAACGAATTTGAGATGACTCAAAAAGATTCCACATTACCAGACTGTCCAGATGTTTTATCTCTCAGACCACTGCAGAATCTCTGGAAAAGACAGGCAGAAGGCTCAAGGAGCAGGGGACGTTTCCTTTCTCCCTGAGAGACTTGCTTTCTCTGAGTTCTAGAATCTGCACTGTTTCCAAGGGATACTTGATGCTGCACAATGGACTTCAGGAACCTGGAACCACAGTGAAGCTTATGACCCAACACACTGGCTTCTTCTCCTGGATCAGGGCTGACTATTGTAAACTGAAGGTGCCATTAGAGAGAGCAGACATTACACAGGAAATTAATAAACTTCTCCATAGCTATTACCTGTATAGGATGGTCAATTGTCTTGGTCTTGGAGCTTATTTTTTTATTTTTGTTTTATATGTATGTGTGTATTGCCTGCATGTACATAAGTGCACCTGTGTTGTGCAATGCCCATGGTGGTCAGAAGTGGCCATCAGATACCCTGGAACTGGAGTTATGGACAGTTACTAGCTGCCACGTGGGTGCTGGGGTTCAAACCAAGGTCTTCTTCAAGAGCAGCTAATGCTCTTAACTGCTGAGTCACCTCTCAGCCCCCTTTCTGCTTTTGCTTATCATTTTTCTGTTTACATGTGTGTATAGTCACACATGACAGCTGGTGACCATGGAGGCCATAAGAGGGAATCAGATCCCCTAAATTGGCATTATAGGTTGTTGTGAGACATGGAATGGGTACTGGGAACCAAACTCAGTCTGTTCCATTGCAGGAGCAGCAAGTGCTCTCAATGGCTGAGCCATCTCTCCCTTCTTTTGTATACTGCAATTTCTATCAGTGGGGCATTTCATTGTTGCAGAGTTGTCGTGAATACTGACAATCCTCACACTCTTTTCCATCACCATTGAAGTTTCCATCACTTTTCCATCACCATTGAAGTTTGACCTATGTGGTTACCATGTGCAGATTGTCCTGAATTCTTCCTGGCTGCATGAGAGTTAATGCACAGGATTTTGTGTTTTTGATAGTGCTGCTCTCTGGATGAAATGGAGAAAAGTACTTGGCCCCACACTGAACACCCCACTCAGTGCCATGCATAAACTGAGGCGTTGAGAGACAGACGCCTAATTAAGGGACCCAAGTCGCACAATCCCTTTCAAAAAAGGTAGGGAAGCCCCAGTCATTGATGTTTCCCACTATCCCACAAATGACTGCAAAAAGACCTTCACATATCTTTCTTCAGTGTCAGAAACATTTTGGAGAGGAATGAATACTTAATGTACAGGGTTTTCTTAACAAAAAGATAGGCATATTGCCTCATTTTTCTTAAGGGATTGTCTTCCCTCAAAACTGAGGCAGTCATTTAGAATTTAGGCCAAGAAAGCTTGCTTGTTATAAAATGCATTCATTTAAAAAGTATAAGTTTCTCCTCTTGTTTCCTGTGCCTGCTGGAAGAAGTAGAGCCCAGCTTCCACTCCTCCTCCAGCCACCTCTGTCACCATGTCTCCCTGCCATGATGCACTGTAATTTCCCTGGAACCATAAGCTCAAATAAACTCTTCCTTCTATGAATTGCTTTGGTCAGTGTTCCTCTCACAGCAACAAATAAGTGACAAATACAGTAATTCCTACCAGAGAGTGGGCCGTTGGCTGTGGAGAACCTGACCATGTGGGGTTTTGGAGGAATGTGGAATACTTTGGAAGTTTGGGCTAGAAAAGCAGCTGATGGCTGTAAGCAGAACTTAACGGGCCATTCTAGTCATTCTAGTAGGGGCCTAGAAGAAAGCAGTGCTGGGAAAAATGTAGTTCCAGAGGGAAATAAAGACTTAAGCAGCACTTAGGATATTTTGGCAAAGAATCTGGCTGGAGTCTGCCCTCCACCAAAAAGCTTGCCTGAGGCTAAGTTGAAAAGCAATGGACTAATTTCTCTGGCAGAAGAAATTTCAAGACAACCTAATGTAGAAATGGTGGCGTGGATATTAATGGTGAATATTATGCAGATCTACAGTAAAAAACAGCGAACGGGGCAGAAATACATTTTGGACTGAAAAAGAGCACTAGGAAGATAAAAGTTAGAGCCTTGGCATGTGCTGGAGAGGATCTCTTTGATAAAGGGACTAAAGTGATTAAGGAGGGGCCTAGAGATTCTCACTTAAACAATGGAGAGAGTGCCTCCAGGGCAAGACTACACCCAGTTAAGTCTCCAACTTGAGAAAGGAAAATGATTCAGGGACCACTGAAGAGAAAGGCTTCTAAAATGAATAAAGCAGGCTGGAGTCCATCCCAAACTTGCAGCAAAACTTGGCAGTGTCATTCACCTGGTGCTGGTTTTAGAGGCGTGAAAGATGCAAGAATGAAGGGGCCATCAGTTCTTCCTCTGATGTTTCAGAGAGCTGCTTAGGCCAGGCAGCATGCAGTAGGTGTACACCTCCCTAGAGAAGGCCCTGATAGGCCATTGTGTGAAGTCTGTGAAGGTGAAGCCTGGCTGGCAATGGAAACCCCAAGAAGACATTCGTGATGCCAGAGCTGTGAGACATCTGTCAAGATAACCTGCATACAGGGAATGGTACCAGCTCAACAGAGACGTGTGTTTCATGCAGCAAAGCTGGAGAAGCTGAGCCATCTAAACCCTTTGGAAGTAAAGTCCCAGAAGTCAGACATGGAACTACTGGATTTGGTGTTTGTCCTGCTGGTTTTCGGTTTTGTTTTGGTTCTGTATTTCCTTACTATGTTTCTATTCCTCCCTTTTGGAATTGTAATGTGCAGTCAGTTCCACTGTATGTTGAGAGTATGTAATTTGTCTTTTGATTTTACATGGAGCTTACAGTTAAGATATTTCCCTGAGTCTCAGAAGGTACTTTGGACTGTGGACTTTTGCATAGTATTGAGACTGATAACGACTATGGGGACTTTTAAATAAGTGCATTTTGCATTTTATATGCTCATGAACCTGTGGGGCCCAGGGGTGGAAGGTGATGGTTTGAATGAAAATGTCCCTCATAGGCTCCAAGTATTTGGACATTTTGTCCCCAGATTGTGGCCCTGTTTTTTCGAGGTTTTAGAAGGTGTGGCTATACTGGAGGAAGTGCTTCACTGGGGCTGGGCTTAGAGAGTTCTTAAGCCTTGCCAGATCTCCAGTTTCTCTCTTTTTTCCTGTGCTTGCTGGAAGATGTAGAGCCTAGCTTCAGTTTCTCCTCTAGCCACCTCTGCCACCATGCCTCCCTGCTGTGATGGACTGTAATTTCCCTGGAATGGTAAGCTCAAATAAACTCTTCCTTCTCTTAAAAAAAAAAGTATAAGTTTCTAAAACTTATGGAATATAATAGAAATATAAGACCTCCCTATACTATGAAAACATAAGCAGGGTCTGGAGAGATGGCTAAGCAGTTAAGAGCACTGCTTGCTCGAACAGAAGACCCAGCACACATATGGTGGCTAACAACCATCTATAACATCATTTCCAGGGAGTTTGATGCTATCTTCTGGCCTCTGTGGGCATTACATGACATAGGTATACTTAGAAGAAGACAAAAACATAGAAATACATGTAAAATAAAAATAAATAAACCAGAAAAAACTTATACATAAAATAAAAAGAAATAAACTGGAAAAAAATTAAAACATAAGCCAGATGTAAAAATGACTAAAAATATGAGGAAAATTCCTATGAGGCTTTCATGGCCCTCCTGATCATGCAC